TTATTATAAGTAGGACAATATATCAAATTAAGGGTTACTAAATTTAGTACCTCACGTTCATTTACCATTTTTCAATAAGTCTACTAGTTATTAAGATATTAAGATAAAACTTACAAAAACTATAATTATCCCTTATGAATTTTCAATTCTTCATTACTTCAGCAACCAAGTGAAAAATACAAAAAAGTGAGACGAGATTTATTTCAAACGTTTTAATGCTTTCGTATGTTTATATAATATTAAAAGGACCATGGACTTGGTCACGTCGATTTGGTCAGTTTTCAAGATCGTGGTGGATGAAGTCAAAAATGTATGGTCAAAGATTATGAATCGTTTGATATTTAAGTTAATAGTAGTTTCAAGCATATAAGTATTTACACACATCAACATAGTACAATTAGGGTGAGTCCATTTATGCAGTCTTGAAAATTGGTGCGAAATGGTTTCATTAGTCACCGAAGAAGCACATTTTTCGCGGTTTCTAAATTTGCCGTTATATGAAACTAGGGGACGCGCATTAAGTGTTTAGATAAACATAAATATTTTAGTTAAAAAATAAATGTAATAGTTTTTAACATATCCTGGGAAATCCTTTTGAGGACCCTCCAATAGGACGATATTGCTTTGCATTCAGCTTGAACGAAAAAAGTCACTCCCGGGCATACTATTCTGTAATCCGGTTCTTTCATTTAAAGGTTATTTATAAAATTGAAGAGAATTTTTTTTTAGAAAAAAACTGGAGATTCATTTAAGTTTTTCAATATAACTTTGGTAAATGTTACTCGATCGGTACGTAATAATTACCAAATGAAGGCGAGACTTGCTGTTACGGATTTATGATAATGGCCCTTATTATGAGCTGCATTCGATATTCGATCTTCGCTGGCTATCGAAGATCGAAAGTGAAATTCGTATTGAGCTATGCAAGCGTGTCGAAATTTTCGTTGAGTATCGAACAGAATTTTGCTTTCGATGGTGTAGCGAAGTGTTAGAAAATTGTGAAAAATGTATGATTTTGTATATGTTTTCTTACATTTTGGCGGCTAGACACTAATTTTAAACAATTTTTATTAATTTCATGCAGTTCTAACATCGTGAATACTAAACACAAACTCGAAAGGCTGGTTTTACTTGTGAAAGAAAAACCCAATACTGTTGGCACGATCTCTGAGAACAAAATCGTAGCGCTGTTGATAGTTTTAAAATATTTTAAATAGATTTGGCTCACAAACGCCACTTTAGATGGTCGGAACTTTTTAATGAATCTGTAGACAAATTTCTTAAATATATTTTATATCAAAATATATTCGAAAGACTAATAAACTTAAACTCTCTTAAACATTTGCTACTCCTGGCCAGTTTACTAAGCTCTCATCCTCTGACGAATCGTTGAACCAGAACTCGTTGTACTCATTTTACCACGTTTTTATAAACTCGCTTTCTTTTTTATTTCATTTTAATTAGAACAAATTTACATAAATATGTATAAGCACACTATTTAGTTTGCTCGATTTGTAAACAAAAGTTGTGTTTTTTTACAAATTATCCAGTAACTTGCCAGCAACTCTCCAGTAACTTAATTTCTAAGAAGTCGCTCTCATAGAAAAAATTTACAAAAAAGTACGTGAACGCTTTTCCAGTAATAATTTGCAAGTTTCATGAACAGCTGATTAATTGGTTGTTTATTTGCAGCATATTCCTAATAAAACAATAGATTTTATATTTAAATACGTTTATTTTGTGAATTTCCGCAATAAAAAGCCACAAACAGTTTCCTTATTAGTTTAAATTTCATCCAGCAACATGCGATCAGCTGTTTTTCGTACTGGCAAATTCTTACAAGTAAAAATTTATCCAGTAAAATCCAGTAAAAACTTGCAACTTCAGCTGTCATTTTTCGCTCTCTCAATTTCCCCTACTTTGCAAGTTTTTGCGTACGAAAACGCCAAAACATGAAAATTCGTAAAAACTTTTACTGGATTTTACTGGAAATGAGTAAAAAAAACGCAACTAAAGCTTCTCAGCGGTGAAAAATATACTATTGTGAACGACCTAAACGAACGAAATTCACAATAGCGCTATTCTTCATCGAATGAGCGCCATAATACCAAATGAAAATTCGTTCGCTCAGCACTTTCGACCACAGTCGAAAATCGAATGCAACTCATAATAGGGGCCAATAATATGATGAAAATCTTTCAGATTATAAACAAATTATTTTAAAATAAAAAAAAAATGTTGAACAAAATTTTTTGTAATTTTTCTATATTTGCAATTTTTATATTGTATGCATGAACATAAGTAAACTAATTAGTGTTTGTAGAAGTTGTGCCCGTTTAGTTATTTCATACTCATTTGCATAAATAAAATTTTTCCACGATGATGGAAAATAATGGATTTGATATTAGAGCCACCGAAATTGTTCCAAAAATTGCAAAAATTCGCAAACCATAGCTAATATTAAAAAAAGATAAGAATATTTGGAAACAGCGGCATATATACACGCCAGTAATATTAATGCTGTTCTTTACATCTTTTAACTATAGGCCAGTGCAACTATCAAGAGAACAATTAAAATTTTATTGAAAACAGATAACTTTGATATTAACGATAAACTAAAGGGCTGCGAGAAATGACATTTGACTTTATCTTTTGCGTTAACGGATTCACTATCTAATAATATGCACCAAACCTTTTTGCTGAACCCNGATATGCACCAAACCTTTTTGCTGAACGCAGAATTTTGAACAAGAATTGGTCTTATTCGACTAGTGTGTTGTGGGGCACTTGGCGGTCGATGCGCGGGCTCTTAAAATTACAATAAAAGACTAATATTTTGTAGGCTTGTTGTTGACTTCATGATACAATATATTTTCACTATTACCAAGGGATTTGAGAAAAATTTTATTTTCGACCCGCCCTAATACGTATGTTGAACACGGCGCCGGCGGATATTGCAGACAGAATTGTCGCAGCGCGAACTGCTATTAGGTTAAGGGAAACCGGGTCCTTTTGTGACATAGAAAGGAAAAGAAGACGTTTTTCTGCACACGTTACCTCTCAAGGGCTAGTGATGGGGGTTCTGATATGCCATTGTGCGATTGGTATTCATGCGGTGAGACTAGGAATTTCGACTAATCCAATTGTATCAGCTGTCAAGAGGAATATGAAGTGGAATCATCTCCACACTTTCTGTTAGACTGTCCAACCTTCGCGATGCTATTATGGAAGCATTTTGGCTCGCGCTTCTGAACAAACACTGAGCTCTCAGGGATCGAAATTAGCCGCATTCGAAATTTCGTAATCGGCTCGCGGAGTTAACTTAACTTAACCTAACCTGTACTTCTTTGAGCTATGAAATAGTTGGTCACATTAAGTATATGTATACTATTGGCGTTTTTCCTTACTTCAATGTGATTATTTTTTGTGAATATATTGCCTATTTTCTAAAAATCCTTATACGCGCATCGTGTAGCACACTGGCATATTCAAAACCAAAAAATTCAACGGTTAAGTTTTCGGACGAATTCGCATCCAACATAACAGCAGACTAATGCGTGCTGTAGGTAACAATTTGTTTAATGAAATTTCCTCGAAACCCGTCAATCTTACGAAAAAAAGCTACTTTTTTGTGTACACTGAGAAAAGAGTTTAGTTACGACATTTAAATATGTTTCTCTCAACATAATCATTTAGTTACAGTAACATTATTTGGGTTCAGTTACCAAATCATGTCTTGAGAGAAATATACATATTTAGCTGACTTTTTTCTGAGTGTGGGCAATTTGCTGAGCTGCAAACTTGGTAAACGTAATTTTTTCGTAAAAGTAGTGTCCGTTAACAAGATTTTCGTAAAAATAACGTTTGTTGTGGCCTCTAATCCAGCGTTACAGTTCTAGCTGTACTTGGATCGCTGGGACTTTTGGTATGTTGTTTAGGACCATGCAAACCCCAGTTTTCCCTAATTTGACCGTAGTTAAATGTGTTTATTCCCCATACGATTTTGAGATTTTACTTCACTGCTAATTAATTTTTTTATTACTTTTACTTTTTGCGCACTTTAGATTTTCACATTGGGGGATTTATATAATCTGCAATTTTCAGGTGTCATTCTCTTGCATTTTAAGCGCCATAATATATGCTACGTTTTCAACGAGTTCACTTTGTAATAATCCGTGCTTTTGTAGTTTATTTGTATTATTGTATTCATACATATCTAAAACGATCAATTAAGTTTTTTGTGATAATTCAATCGATTTTATTCGTGCATGTATCGGGAAACCTTTTTGTTATTGGGTGTTTGTTCGCACCAAACTTCCACCCGGTATGCCAGATATTCGTTAACCACTCTAACTTACACACCCAAATTAATACAAATTGTCTGGCTTTTAACACTCGGCCACGAATTAGCAGGCAACTTACAAAAGTGCCAAGACTTGTCACAGCTGCTTCGGTAGACACATCTACATATATATGTATATGTATGTACTAAATTCATATGTATATATATACATATATTCTGTATTATTGCTAAATGTATTTTTAATCTTTATTTTCTGTTTCATATTTGTTAGGCAAAAAACTCTGGCACCTCCAAGCGAACACATATACGCGCGCATACAGTAGTCATTGAGTTGATAGGTAAAGAAAAAAAAACAGGTAAATTATTGCTAATTGCACACAAAGCTTCACTTTTAGAAGCACAACCGTCTCGTTTCCAAATATCACACCAACTGTTCGAGCTTTCGCTGGTATCGCTGTGTGGGACTTAATTGGTGGAAAATGGAAAATGGAAAATGTAAAAGCTGACAAGCAGTGCTTTTACTCTGTAAAAGAGAGGAAAAGTTCTCTTTTGTTCTGTCTCTATGTCAGGCAGGGATGAATAATGCAAATTACAAATTGTACCTTATATCATAAAAAAATGCACCTAATTGAGAGAGATTGTACCTAAAAAAAGTTCGTTTGTAGTTTTTTTATAAATTTTTTTTTAAATATACATTAATTCAAAAGATGGATGTACTTTAAACTTCATTAGGTTTCTTTTTATACCCGAGCGCACTTGTGCACAAGGGTATTATAACTTTGTTCACATAACGGTTGTTTGCAACAGCCAAAACGAATCGAGATAGATAAAGACAAATGTATACATAAATGATCAGAATGAAAAAAAGAAATCGATTAAGAGGTGACTGGTCTGTCCGTCCGTCCGCCCGTCTGTGCAACGATAGCTCGGGTAAAAATTGAGATATCTTAACTACACTTGGTGTGTGTGCTTCTTTTTAGCGTAGGACGGATGATACTGAAAATGGGCAAAATCGGACAATAACCACGCCTACCTCCCACATAACGCTAGTTTTCAGAAATACGAAAACTGCGATATTTTAGTAACTACTGAAGCTTATTCAATTTCAATTGATATTTACAACGATCTTTAGACGAAAAATAGTAATAATATAGATTGTTGGAAAATGGGCATAGCCACATCCACATCTTGGTAACTGCTTTACCAATTTCTTGGCACAGTTCTTGCCTTTTAAAATCGGACAATAACCACGCCCACATCCCATATATCGGTAATTTAGAGAAAGCAGAAATCTTCGATAAATCAATAAATACGGAAGCTAATTTATTCAAAATTAATGTTTGCAATATCTCTTTAGCAAAAAATACGCTCATGATAAAATTTTGGAAAATGGGCGTGGCACCACCCACTTATGACAACATACATATGTGTATCACGGTAACCGTTCTACCAATTTGTACCAAACTCGTTACGATTGTTGTGCTTGCGACATAAAAGCAAAATGTTGAAAATTATTGAAATCCAACTAAAATTACGTCCACTTTTCATATAACGGTAAATTTCAGATATGCTTGAAACTTCGGTATTTCGAAATTTACGGACGCAATCCCTTAAAAAGGAGTAACATTATTATGGAATTTTGGAAAATGGGCGTGATACCGGCCACATATAACTGTGTGGGCAAATCTAAAAAACAGGTAGCCTTTGTGTTATTAAGCTTTATTTTCATGGTTGTAAACTATATCGAACGGGTTGCTTTTGATTATAATTCATAGGCGTATACTTGAAGCCACAAAAAAAATTTTAATCAATTTGTTGCGTAACTTTTGAGTTATAGATGTTTTCATGAAAAAAATATATTAAAATAAATGAATTTTTTGTGTAATTTTTAAGAGGTGAAATGTTTATTCTGTCATAACTTTTGAAGCACACAATATACTGGTTTGAAATTTTATAGCCAATTAGTACTTATGTGGACACTTCATATGTAATAGGTAACTAAAGTGTGCTTTAAAAAATAACTAAATAGCAAGTAACTGAAAGTTTGTAACTCCACTTTTCACAATTTTCAAAATTTTCGGTTTATCGCGTATAGTTTTTGAAGCGTTTCATTTTAAAAACTTTTTAAAGGTGTATTGTATTCTTCAAACACGAACAATTTGATACCTTAGCAAGAGGCGTGCTTTCAGAATAAACAAACTTTCAAAGATAAAATATTCTGCGATTATTCCAAAAACATCTTAACTGAAGGCCTGCAGTCCTTATAAAGTTACATATACCTGTCAAATGCTTCAAACAAAGTTTCTCTAGAAGTGTGTAAAACCCCTGATTTGCTACTTTTAATGATGCTCCTACTTGTAGTCAGAATATTTTGAGCGTGATATCAAATCAAGTTTTTTTCGACAAAGGTTCTGATAGGTGCTCTTACTTAATTGGAGCCTTCTAAGTTCAATGGCGTCCTCAGTTTTGCCCGATTGGCTCCACTTTTCGAGATAGCGGTACTTGAAACTTTGCTTAAATTATAACTATTTCATAAAAAATCTTCCTCAGTTTTGAAGATATTTTACTAAAATTTTGCACACGATTGTATTTTTACATTACCTTCATTATCTCTTAAAATCATCGACATCGGTTTACTATAACACCTAGCTCCCATACAACTTTTCAGAGCCAATATAGGTTGAATTTATTATATATCACGCATACAATTTATTATTCAGATATGAAGTTAGAGTTGCAGCGCAAAAACACATAACTGAGTAATCAGTTGTATTGGAGCTATATGTTACAAGTGGACCCATTTCGATAATTTTAAGGAATAATTAAGGTAATATGTAAAATCGTTATGTTCAAAATTTTAGTAAAATAACTTCAAAACCGAAGCAGTTATTTATAAAATAGTTAAAATTTAATCAAATTTCCAAGTACCTTTATCTCGAAAACCGGAGCCAATGCGGTAAAACGGGGGATGCCAATGAATTCAGAACCTCCCAATTAAGTGAGTTCAACTTTCAAAATCTTTGTAGAAAATTTACAACTTGCACAGCGTAATTTGAACCCAGTTTATTTTGTTGTTTTCTATTTCAGCGATCTAAATCTTTATTCTTCGTCTAACTTTTGAAGCACTTGATGAAAATCAGTGACGCCCATATTTATCGATTTAAATATAAATTAATTAATTTACAGATTACGAATAGAATCATATATAAAACATAGGTGCGCCCACAAATTAAAAAATTTAACTTTTTGTTTTGAAAGTGTACCTGTTTTTTAGATTTGCCCATATACATACATAAGTTTATCTCATTATGTATAACTGAACGTTCTATCGAAGATGTTTTAAATAGGGGTAAAACCACCCCTGCTTACATGTAGGGGTAGTTTTCGGAAAGGTAACCGCTATAACTTAGACTTTTTTACTTGTTTTAACTAAGATTTTATCTATAGACTATAGTCTAAGGCACGGTGCACATTAGAGCGATACGATATGCGATACGATACGCGATGCGATATGAAAGCGACATCGACATGCGCGCAGTGCACACTAGGCCGAGACGACATGCGATGCGACACACGATACCATGTGCGGTGTAATAGCAAACCGTGTCGCAAGGCCGATACGCACGCGATATTATATTGCAGCAGTGTCGCACGGCCGATATGCATGCGATATTATGTCGCAGCAGTATCACTGTCTTGCAAGTGTGCACAGTTTTCATCGCTTCCTACCAATTTACACGCACTCAACATGTCTATATCGCTTTCGTATCGTATCGCATATCGTATCGCTCTAATGTGAACCGTGCCTAATGGGAATCGGAGAAGCTTTGTTTTTGTCTAATTTTGACTGCTGAAAAATATTGGCGAAAAATACGAAACACATATTTTGTGAACTTTACTTTTTTATCCAGCTTTTTATAACGCAACAGGAAAAGTCTGCTAATTAATCCCATTTCCTTTAATAGCTGCAGCAAGTCTACAGAAAATAATGGGAATGGATCAAATAGCTATTGCTTCAACTACAGCAAATATGAAATTTAAAGAAATCCTGAACACAGGACTCTATGGGTGAATAAAATCAATAAAAAAGTTAAAAATGTTATCACATGCGGGGAACTTTAGCTTTCCTGTTTTCAATAGATAAAAAAATGCATTCCAATAATTGCAAAGGGAGAGCGTTTGTAGATTTTAGACCTTCATTCGAGAGAGGGGAGTACGTCGATCTATGGCGCATTTTATGGACAAAATTAGTTCTAATTTCGAATATAGAAAATATAACAAGAATTACGAAGTTGAGGATAACTAAGTAAATTGTTAGTTTTTCGAAGTGGCTGTTCTAAATGTAATGTAAAATGTTTAAGAGAATACATAATATGACTTTATTAATTTCTTTCTTTTAAATTTTTCAAAATGAAAACGAAGCTTCTCCCGTTCCTATAAGTAGATATATTAGCACGGTGAAGGAAAAGAAAAAAAAAACTAAAAATGTATCTGATCAAAAGATGGTTCTACCTATAATATAGTGATAGTACCTAATGTACCTTTACTCTGCAAACGTCGGAAACTGATATGTATTCCCCCCATCTGGCATCACCTTTAGTACTTTTCGTGTTCAATTGTATGCATAATACATTACATACTTTAAGAACACACCATGTTTCATTTCTAATATATTACATTACTTTATGAACACATCACGTTTCACTTCTTTTATACTACACCAACTCGCTACTATGTATATTTAATTGATATATGAATAAACGCTGTGGTGTAGTGGTAAGCAGTGCGGGCTTCCAATCCGCAACGCCTGGGTTCAAGCCCTGGTCAAAGCAACATCGCAAAAAATATAGAAAAAGGTTTTTTCTTAACAGCGGTCGTCCCTCGGCAGGCAATGGCAAACCTCCGAGTGTATTTCTGCCATGAGAAATAGCTTCGCATAAAAATACAATCGCCGTTCGGAGTCAGCGTAAAGATGTAGGTCCCTCCGCTTTGTGTGACAACATCAAGACGCACGCCACAAATCGGAGGAGA